CAGCCGAACGCGCTAACCACCCGCGTCATCGTGCTCTTTATACTTTATGATCAATTAATTATAATTATGTTTTCACACAAGCTAGGACTACATAATTAAATTACCCATTAAATTTTGTACGTACGACGAAACAGGTATACAATAAACGATTAAACGTGTTGACGTAAATAATTATTTGCTTAATAAGTAAGGCTCAAACACTAAGCTCACTACGTACAAAGCAAGTTAAAAACATAACGTTGTATGTTCAATCACATCCAAACTATAAATAAACGATATAAATCATATTTATATCTCAGTATAAACTTATTTAAGAAATACATTGGACTCGTTATATTTTGTTACCTACATTCCTTTATACTAATTTTAAGTACAATCCATGTTTTTTCTCTATAAAGAGACATAATTAATTGGTGATTGTTCAGACGCGACCATGTTGGTGGATATAATATGATATTTACTACGCTGCGTGTTATACAAGTTGTACCATCAAATCCGAACGCTATTCAAAAACCGCTGTCGGAGAGGGATACAACACTACAAAGCGATAGGAAAGTAAAATTAAACTTCATAGAAACAAAATACTATCGAGATTATTCTTTTCAAACTCAAGTAAATATTTATGAATTAAATTAAAAAGACCAAATCATATCCTGCCACTTGATCTATAGGTATCTCTTGAATACTCGCTGCACGAAAAAACACTTTTGTGACGGCACGCAAGATTAACAAAAATCAATATACGTAATTTAATATCATTCATGGCGCTCATGTTAAAAAATGCGATATTATCAAAAATTCCAGCCCCTTCGCTTATAAGTAATAGCGTTCAAAAACTGTAAGATCATAGATTTACAAATAAATATTCTCATAAGACTATTGTAATAAATCCTTCAAAGTAATTTATAATCTCGCTTAAGATATCGATCAACCGCTTTATTCACTGGTTACGAATTTGTCAATGTCCCTCTCCAGATAAAAAATGAGATAGAACTCCAATAGAAATAGGATCTCTTGTAAACAAAATAAGAGTTAGGAGAAAAGCCAACATAAATTACATCAATCAACAATAGAAGAAAAAGGGTTTTTTTGGAAACTATTAAACGACCGCTTCAAGTTAAGAGCTGCCACTCTCCCCGCCTCACCGCTCTCCAAGGCAGACCCTATTATTCGACGCTATTGGTCAACCGTTCCAGTTGATATGCCTGTGATTGGTTGATTGACCTATGAGACATTTGGTGACGGTCACCGATGGTCAAATCGAAGCGAACGTGTCACAGAATTAGCCAGAATTCCAGACCGGATTGATGAGAATATTCCTCTTATTTCACAAGTGAAGAAGCAGTGGTTGCTTTTCAAACAGTGTTGCCAACACGGAGTTTTTAGAGCTAGATTTAGCTCTAAATCAGCTTGGTAAGCTTTAAAAAAGTAGGTTTAGCTCTTTAGCTCTACTTTTCCACAATTTTAGCTTTTTTCCATTTACACTATGATTAAATCCTTTTGTATTATTTTTAGCTCTAAATACTTGTTTCCATAGTCAAAATGTACCTACATTGTTTATGGTCGGTCTATAGTTATTCTATGATGCCGCCGTTGTTTATGGTTAGGTATTTCCCGATAATTTTCTAAGCGTTTCAGCTGCTAAAAAAGTAGTTTTATTATTACCTACACATAGTGAGTACTCATTCGGTCTCTGTGGTAAGTTCACAGTTTCAGAACATTTCATAGGTATTATTTCGTAAGATGGCGCAAAGTAAGCATCTGAACCAGAATTTCAAGGTTGGCTTCAATCAGTAAAAACAGACCCCACCAAAGCGTTTGTACTTACTACAAATGCGAGGTTAATTCTAAAAATGGTGATTTATTTAATCATAAAAAGAAAAAAACACCTTAGAGCGGCGCAACCATTTTCAGCGGGACAATCAAAATTAAGTTTTTCTCCAAAACCGAAAATTTATTCTGGGACAAATTCTGCTGAAGGATCATTGGCCCTTTTAATAAGCGCTCATACCTCAATATTACCTGTCGATCACCTTGGTGTACTATGTAAAAACAATTCAAAGATGCCGAAAACTTAAAATCACACAAAACAAAATGTAGTGTTATCATAAAGAATGATCGAAGTCCGCATTTTATAACCGAATTAAAAAGAGATATAGGCGATGGAACATTCAGTTTGCTATTAGATGAGACTGATATCAGTATTACTAAACTGCTCGGTATCGTAGCGTAGTGTAGTATTATAGCAAAAAAATATTTAAAATAGTTTCGACCTTTCTAACATTAGCCAAATTAAATAAAACTGATCCCGAATCCATTATAAACATTGCTCATATTGATTTTTAATAAATAGTTCATACAAATAATTATCTCTTTTTTCAAAAAAAATCTAGCTCTTTTAGCTTTTTTTTAGATATGATCTAGCTCTCTTTAATAATCCGAGTTAGCAACACTGTTTTCAAAGCACACTAAAAATCACTGCAACTATGCATCTTCACCCAGAATAAATAGATTAGTGCAGGCCATGGGCAAACTTTTTCCTTAACGTGTTAATATTTATTACTATCAGAATCTATGTCAAGTTTTTGCTTCGGCCACCTACGATTTGCGATGCGATGCGCCAATCTAAACACATATTTGGCCTTGATGTTGCTGTAGCGATAGCTTTTTCCACGTTTATATGTGAGTTTGGATCGCAAGCTAGTATGCGCCTGAGATGGTCCATGTCTCTCTTTTAACAATAATGATAATTTATTTACCTATTTACTAAGGAAACTGCAAACGTCTACGCATAAATATAAAAATCAGAACCTTTGACATTTTTATAAATTGAATGAGCCTGTTACACCTTCTGTGGCGCTTGCATTGTGCTTATTTACACCTCTTTTGTAGGATATTTATTTTGTAGCCAAGTGGAGATGGAGTGTACTTAAAATTAATATGAGCGATTAAGTCCAACATATTCAACACATCACAAAATATTTCAAAGAGAACAACAGCTTTTCTCGCTTTTGGCATTCACTTTCTTGACATTAAATCTACACAGAAAAGAGATTTATATATAGATTTTATTTTTGCTCCATCTACTCACTATCATTATAGCAAAGTGAATAATTTATAGGCACAAAGATATCGAAGAAAAAAATCCATTTACAGTGGTTTATTGAGGCAATGATCTAAGTAAAGTTTCAAATCACAGCAATCAATTATGTAAATTATATAACTGTCATTTGCCATATTAAAGAACCAAGTAATGCTAAACTAACTGTAAGTCGTCACTTCTAACATGATGCACTTAATACTATTTGAACGCCGAAGAGACATATGTCCGCGCCCCGTCTGTTTCTTATGGCTCGATTACATTTGGTCATTAGTACGAGTGCTCATGGGATTCGGGTAAACGACTAAGGCCCGTATTACAGAATGACAACTAACTATTGATCTTAACTTGAGTACAGTAAGAAAGGGATGTAGCTATGTGCTATATATAGCGACATCCCTTTCTATCGTTTATTTATTCTTAAGCCCGTATTATAGAAAGATTCTCAGTGATTGATCTATTCTTGAGCATGGTAAGAAAGGGATGTCGCTATGTGCTATATACAGCGACATCCCTTTCTAACTTTCTAACTATGCTCAAGAGTTGAAGATGAGGTATATTCCTCATCTGTGCACAATATTTGGAGCAGCAACAACACTTGATTGATAAGAAGTATCTACCTATACTTAGGAAACGAAGCATACATACTTAATTTTTTATGCATAATAGTACTTCTAACTAAACCCAATAACGAAAAATAGCACCCAGATAACGAATCCAATTAGAAAAGGTGATGCACAGAAAAAACACATAAATAATAACAAAATATTTTTTTAACATTAAAAATAACTTGTCATCTCATACTTTTGATCGTCCAAAAAGAGATACATATTTAAATAGGCCCATTACATAATTGCTATAGGTGATGTCAAAATGCGACAACATACTATTTACGTGATTCGATTATCTGTAAGTGTCGCCGGACACGGGCCACACGCCACAGCCACAAACGCCGCCACGAGAAGCTAGAAACGGCTACTAAAGTGGCTGAAGCGCGCGACAGCGGCCAACTAAGGTAAGGGAGAGAGGGGTGGGGAATCGCGCAAGTGACGTGTGGCGGCGTTTTGTATCGGCGCATTAAGTGGCCGGTGCGGGCCACAAGAAGCGAGCAACGATTTGTAGCGTGTGGCGGCCACCGGCGTATCGTGTGTGGCGAGTCCATATAAAATGTATGAAAACTACAAGAAATATGCCGGTGGCGGCGTTTTGTGGTTGTGGTCGGTGGCCCGTGTGCGGCGACATTAAGACAGCGTGACGTACTTAATCTAATTTGTTCTAATTATTACCATACCTCATTAGTCATTAATAATATAATACACTTAGTTTTTTTTTTACACCTGCTTATAGGTAATATAGTTTATGGTGATGGTAAGCCTGAGTATACATTTTAACTGAAAATTGAGAAGTCGGCGTTTTGTTTTAAAGCAAAAATCGCTTGATACTGGGCTACAATAAATCCTACCTACACAGCCTAACAGCCGCTAGACTGGTCGGTGAATTTTGAAACAGCTTATTGATTGTATGTGAGAAAGGTATCATTTAGCATTTATAAAAGGTACTTTACTGTTAAGTGTTGTTTTGGACATATTATTCTATTCTAAAGTTTGAAAACGCAGCAGCGTTTGAATTAAGCTCTTAGTAAAATCACTTAGATAAAAAACAATAAACTAATTTTGAACAATTTTACTTTGCGTATTTCAGTTGAACTAAACAACACTAAGTGACGTTATTTCAATGCGCAAAGACCTTGACATTATGTGTGTTTGCAACAGTTTGTGTTTAAAATATTCATTTTAATTTTTTGCATCGTTACAATCTTTCATGATTTCTCATAATATAATCGCTATAATTATAACTCATAAGGGTTATATTACCAGTTTTACGAAGGAGCAAAATAGCTATTTAAACAATTTATATTATACAAATTGTTTAAATTGCATTTTGTTCGTAGAAGAACGAGGCTCAGTTACAGCTTTCCGTAAAACGATAATCATATTTAAGTGTACACCCAGGTGTACCAATCATCATTTATTAAGAAATTCAATTTACAAGAATATCTAAAGACAATTTGTATTCCAGTGCATAGTACCATGTTCGATTTAATAAAAATATGATTTTAACTATACAAAAATATATGTGTTACTTCTCTATCAAAATATAATAGCTTTATATTAAATCCAATAGATCGTTTTGATATATAATTTAGGCGTGTGACAGATAATTAAAAAAAACAGAGATTAAACGATTTTTTTAAAGGAATCGATAGATTAGCAATGAGAAGATAAGATCACAATTCCTTAAAGTCACTACTATTTATAATGATTACTACCTTATCTTGTGATACATCTCTTTTAAACATTCTTCAACGTAATATTTTTACCTATATACAATCTAAATGAACAAAGAGATGTTCAATTGAACGAATTCATCAAATACAATTGTTGAAAATGAATGGAGTTTACTAAAGTATTGAATTTTTGATCTTATGACTCATGACCGCACTAAGTTACCTACATTAATTATTGGTTAGCTTCTATTAATTTGTATACTTACTATAAAATGACGACACGTCACTTTTGAGAATATAAAATTTAATTAGGTCTGTGAGTGCGGCCTAAAGAGCATATCGTAGCAGTACATTTCTATAATAATACTGTGCGAACAACAAAATAGAACTGTATATTAAAAATTATATGTTATCGAATCCTCAATGAATTACATCTAACGGATGCTTATTAAAGGGTTAGTGCTTCATAAAAAAACTATGACTACACTACACTAATTTATCAGTAAGTTTTGTTTAGAAAAACAATTGCCACTATCAGCAATAATATGTTCGGTGCACTGGTAATGTTATCAAAAACTTTTCAAAACACATTGCGTTGTATAACAAAACTCTTAAATACTGACAGTGCATTATTTTTTAAGAGTGCCTAACCTAAACTTCTCGCAAAAGACACAAATTGATAGTGAAGTAAACAAATAGTTTAAAAAAAACATGATACTCAAGTGTACAATATTAGGAATGGGTAGCTTTATAACCAACAGGTTCTAGCAAATCTACACCTAAATAACATACTAGATGACCATTCAAAGTTCAATGACACAAACCATTAAAAGATACTTTAATATTCACTCAAATGAGGGAATACTGGACTATACATAGTATACTTATAAATAAAAATGGAAGAACTAATCGGTTACGTAACCGATTGAAAATAATACCCAACACGAAGGAGACAGCAGTCCAATAACAATGTCTCCGGAAATAATTTCAAGTAAAGTATACACAAAATAACTAGTACTCACTACAAAAGTACTTATAAAAATACAATACACTGAACTGGTTACTTATTTACTTTAGTAAATTGTAATTTTAGCGCCGATTCAGTTTTACTAATCGCCATAGTGAAATTGGTTCTACGATTTCTTTAACTACAATTTTTAATCTAAAATGTTCTGTGTGAAACTTGGTCTGTAGGATGAATTTTGTTACTTATCGAGGAATCACAGTAGACAATAATAACTTATATATGAGATGTAGTTAAGGTTCAGCTTACGATTTCGAAGAGGTAACTTTATTCCTCCAAAACTTTATCAATTTCAACCTATTATTTGTCTGTACATTTTCATACACACACACACACACAGACATACCCAAACGCCATTTAGAAAAAGAAATGTCCATCGAGAAATTAAACTTTCAAAAAGAATTAATAACTTGTTGCCACGCCACATTTCGATGATCGTTACCCATTTCTTTCTTAAATTACCTACATTACATAAAAATATAATCAAAATAAAGCAATAATCAATTTGTCAATAAGGAATTACTATATAATTATTTCCAAGCGAAACTTCTATCTGATATTTGTGACAGCACAATATTTCTTCGTATAATGTATATGTTGCATCGCAGCCATTTGGTTATATTAGACAGCCTATTGGAAATCTAGGCAATTCATAAAAATTAAATGCCGGCATTTAATGGCGTCCAATTGGCAGACTAATTTTACTAAATGGTTGCGACATATACACTGGACGCGAATGCGTAAAGAAATCAATATAATTTAATGACACACGAAAACATTTATGATAACTTAATTCCAGTAGACTTACTATTTATTGATCTTGATCTCATTATACTTTATTATTACTTATACATACAACATACACATTAAATTGTATGGGAAAAAGCACCATGTGCAAAAAAAAAACAATAGTTCCGCCAAAATTCAATTTGGTTTGAAGGTTTGACACAATGGTTCCATAATCCATTTTTTACAATACCGATTTTAGAATTCATAAACGAAAATTTCACACATTAATGTCATGTTGTTAGTCATTTTGTAAATATATTTTGTCAACACAGATGCGACATTTTGTGACAAAACTTTGTTATTTTTTTTTTGGAATTTCTCTGGTGCTAGAGACTTGTTTTGAGTAACTATTAAATTAATCTGAAACATGTTTAATAAATGCAAAGTGTTTGGTGTCATTTTCAAATATATAGAAAAACGGGATATTGGTTCGATAATGAATGGAGTATTGTGTTTTAAATGTTTCTTGCAAAGGTTGACAATATTTAGATATATAACATTTTCAGGGAACAATTTCTAAGAAAAACCACATCGCTTAGACGTGACATGATTTAGACTTGAAAATACCTCATATATAGATTAGAATGATTTAACAACCAATAACTCACAAATTACAATTAAGATTCCAAATTGGATATTTTTTTTTACTGAACATGTTTAACCTAATCCTGTCTCATGTATTCATCACAATTTGTAACCCCATTTCGCCAACATTTTGTGAAACGATTATTAATAGTCTTTAATAGATATCAAACTGGTTGGAAGCCTATCAAAAATATACCCCAACATAAGCAGAACATTAAAGACAACTATTAATAAATGCAGATTTTCATCTTACCTCAATTATAAGATAGCATTCTTCCTTACTAATTCCATTATCAGTCATTTTTGGTTGTTGCATTATAGATTCGTACACATGTAAATCAACTAAATAAAAAATAATTTATTTTACACACGTAAATAATAATGACAGTTAAAGTCACCACAATAGGGTGATTATAAGATTTTATACATTAAATTATTACAAAATCGTATTGCTTACAAGCCATTGCTGATGATATGAGTAAGACAATGCCCATTCGGGTTCTCATACTGAGATTAGGAGAAGTCCCGCACAACTTTAAGCTTAGTTCTAGGAGAATGTGCTTCTTGTAAGTTAAATGATTCTTTGCCTTCTCTATGGCTTAAACACCACGGTCCTTGTTACCATGGAAACAAGGTTGTTATATATGTATTATGTGATGCTGCCCTTTAATTCACGTGACCCCACAAGTGCACTTTGTACACGATATTTAGTTAAAGCACCTTATATGCTGTAGAGGTAGCTCTCAAGCTTCGTTTTAGGCGAGGGCTGGGTGAAAGGAGAGAACCACAGAATGGAGAAACGACCGAACACAGATTGTATACTCTTCCATCGCGATTTCCGAACCCAACGGGCTTGCTCCTTCTTCAGTTGCTCGATTCCCTGTGAAAAATAGGAGACATGTAGTGTTGATCATCATTCATCATCATCATCAGCCTATTAATGTCCCCACTGCTCGGGCACAGGCCTTCTCTATGGATGGAATAGGGAGATTGGACCATGACCCACCACGCGGGCCCAGTGCGGATTGGTGGGTCATACGACTGCAGATGCAGGCCGATTTTGGCCCCGGCCAACGGCTTAACGTGCCTTCCGAAGCACGGAGGAGCTCGAGATAGTAAATTTTTGGTCACCCATCCAATGACCGACCTCATCATTCATCATTATATCAGTCTATTAATGTCTCCACTGCTGGGGCACAGGCTTTCTTATGGATGGAATCCACAGCCGGGACCACCTGTTTAACGAGCCTTCCGAAGCACGGAGGTTTTTGGATTTCATCAATGGATCAAGATTTTTGGTCACCCATCGAAAGACCGACTACAGCGAAATTTGCTTAACTTCAACGATCGCAGCCGAACGACCTAACCACTTGCGCCATAATTTTTGGAACTGGCAACAAAAATACAAACTATGTGAAAGGTTTTGAACGTCGTCCGAAGCATAATAAACTCATTCGCACGAGCGTGCTTTTTCATGTGCGTTAGAAACGACGTAAACTTGTATTTGAACTTCTCAACTTGTGATTTCTATCTTACGTAAGAAGCCAGAGCTTAAAACGCAACTATGAGCACTAGGAGCTGGCGAAGAAAACGGTATAATTACGCATCTGGTCAAACTACATTTTTTTTTACAGTTTCGAGCCTGTTTAATTTGAATCTCAAATAATTTTCAATGGAAACCGCTTAAAACAGTGTTAAAATTACTAAATTTATAAATAAAAAACCATGCTAAGTTCACTAGAGGTGTGTCATTCAGTTTTATACGGCTCCTGTAAAATTTAATTTTATGTAATTATACCTTTTTCTCCGCCAGCTTCTCATATACAAATACTACTGCACCCAAGGTTTTCATTTAAAATTTTATTAAAGAAGCGCCCTTGCGAACATCCTTTGACATTCAAGAATGTTATGGACTCGCCGTTTCATCGTTCCATATGGCGTGTAGTTGCGTGACGAGCATGACGGCGGGGAATATTGCAAACAGGAACGCTTCGGTTATGAGGAACAACAGCAGCACCACAGTGATATAAGAACTACAATCGCGCCATTGTGCCTTAGAATGTTATGGACTCACGGTTTCATCGTTCCATATGGCGTGTGGTTGCGTGACGAGCATGACGGCGGTGAATATTGCAAACAGCAACACTTCGGCTATGAGGAACAACAGCAGCACCACAGTGGTATAAGAACTACGATCGCGCCATTGTGCCTTAGAATGTAATGGACTCACGGTTTCATAGTTCCATATGGCGTGTAGTTGCGTGACGAGCATGAAGGCGGTGAATATTGCAAACAGCAACGCTTCGGCTATGAGGAACAACAACAGCACCACAGTGGCATTATGTCTCCACAATGTAATAAGAACTACAATCGCGCCATTGTGCCTTAAGAATGTTATGGACTCACGGTTTCATCGTTCCATATGGCGTGTTGTTGCGTGACGAGCATGACGGCGGTGAATATTGCAAACAGCAACGCTTCGGCTATGAGGACCAACAGCAGCACCACAGTGGCATAATGTCTCCACAATGTAATAAGAACTACAATCGCGCCATTGTGCCTTAAGAATGTTATGGACTCACGGTTTCATCGTTCCATATGGCGTGTAGTTGCGTGACGAGCATGACGTCGGTGAATATTGCAAACAGCAACGCTTCGGCTATGAGGACCAACAGCAGCACCACAGTGGCATAATGTCTCCACAATGTAATAAGAACTACAATCGCGCCATTGTGCCTTAAGAATGTTATGGACTCACGGTTTCATCGTTCCATATGGCGTGTTGTTGCGTGACGAGCATGACGGCGGTGAATATTGCAAACAGCAACGCTTCGGCTATGAGGAACAACAGCAGCACCACAGTGGCATAATGACACCACAGTGGAATAATAGCTACAATCGAGCCATTGTGCCGTAAAATGTTATAGACTCACGGTTTCATCGTTCCATATGGCGTGTAGTTGCGTGACGAGCATGACGGCGGTGAATATTGCAAACAGCAACGCTTCGGCTATGAGGAATAACAGCAGCACTACAGTCGCCGGCGGGGAGTAAGCGCTGCAGTCGCGCCACTCGTGCCTTATGCACGTCACGAACTGGTACACGGATAAAGTCAGCGAGTGAATGGAGATCGCAGCTATGTAGAACTGTAACAAGACAACAAGAGTTTCAGCTATCTCGATATTCGGCATCTGGACTGCACCACCAATTAACATCAGGGTGTCGGCTCTGCTATGCTAACAGAAAAATCGTGTGTCAATGGTGGTTCAAAAGTATCGCATTGCTATTATGTGATTGCTGTTTTTACAGATAAATATGGTGGCAAAAAAGCACATTGCTTGTCAAATAGTAAGCAACCACTAAAGCATTAAGACGCTTCAACTTCAATGTCTTTCTTTATACAGTATAATGATTCAATGCGATGTCATCCCTTTCTTTGTGATAGCAATACAATAAGACAACCCGTCACTTCGACAGGCATTCAAATTAATTGACGTCTCCGATTTCGAGTATCTTACGTCACATTAAATTTATTTGAATAAATCAAATATTTGTCTATTCAAAACCAATCAGAGGCGCGAAACGTCAACCGTTCGTAAGTAGGTATCTCTTTCTGAGATTCTAATATATTTATTTTTGACAAACAAGTTGTAATTATAGTAATGGTCATCCCTCGAATTGTTTCTTAACTTTTGTGCTTTGTCATTGTTTGTTTTGTGGTTTAACACAGGTAACATCACAGAAATTAATGCGTCTCAGATTTAACGCTGCCAAAAGTTCTATAAAGGAACTCCCGCTCAAGAACAAGGATTCGCCAACGACAAAGATCATATTTTGCCAAAAATCCAAGAATAAACTTGTTTATGATGTTCTAGCATACCAAACAATGACTTTTGTTTGGCGAGAATTCGAAATGTTAAAGACGCTTTGTAAATTTTACATAAATGAAGCATCAAATTATAGAATCCGCATTAATAATATAAATATAAAAGGAAGTCTGCCTATCTGCTGTGTGTCTGGCCACTTGCCTGTCACTCTTTCTCGCCTAAAATCGATTTTGATAGAGGTTACCTCAAAAAGGAAAACTTGAAGATTGATATAGACAATTCTAATTACTATGGGGCCGTCCACGTGATGTTTTGTTTGCATTTTTAACCTACTCCTCCTCCTGGGTGATACATGGTGAGGTTTAAGACTAAATCACGTTTATTTTTTAGTACTTACAAAGAATCTTATTTTTTTTATAAATACAGGTATAAGTATCATCTAATTTTATCATAGAAATCTAATAACGCTGAGAGGTAGACAGAAAAGATGCAGGTTGATTTGACTGATATAAGAATAATGAATAAAATGCGAAAAACTTTTTTGTACTAATACATGAACATTATTTAATGTACAGTATCCGCGAACCACGAAAATACATGGGATATATTACTATACCCCCCCCCCCCCTCCCCCCTTGTAATATTTCGTGATTTTTTATGAACCCCTCCCTCCACTTTCGAGCCTCACGTGATTAATGGACAACCCCTATGGAAAAAGTATTCTACGTATAATAAAATTGTAGCATAACTAAACCATGAAAGTTACTTTTTGATGTCCAATTTTGATGGATATAATAAGGTTACATTAAATAGCACCACTAATATATTTTAGTCATCAGACGCTAAAAACTCTGGGATGAAATTATTTTTCACTGTCGTTTTCACTGCACATAGGCAGATTGTTTTTCTGAGTAATGATAAATATGCTTATGTAAATGACTTAAAAGTATCTTTTTGTCTTCAGTCATTCTGACTGTTAATTAGCGCGGGTTTGCGCACTCGGAGGGAATGGATGAAAAATTACACGCCGCAATGTGGCATCATTAAACGCATTCTACCGACTATACCACGGCGAGTGTTTTGAGGATTTAGCTATAATATAATAGATTGAACAATTCTGCTTTTCCTACTAAAATTATAAATGTGAAAGTTTGTATGTTTGTTACTCAATTACGCAAAAACTACTGAACGGATTTAGATGAGATTTGGTGCACATATAGTGCACTAAGTCTTAGTCCAGATCACGATTGATACTTGGGATACTTTTTATTCGGGAAAAGGTTCAGGTTCCTGAGAGATTTTCAAAAAACTAAAGAGATTGCGGTCGACGCGCATCTGGACTTTACTGTCACTTAACATCAGGTGGGGTGGAGTCATTTGTCGGACCTATCTATAATAAAATAATTTTATAAATATAGTGAAAATAAAAATTTGATATAATCGCTTTTTGTAAGCGTTCGTATTTTAGCGCCACTCGCAATCTTCATATCCTAGTAATATTAATAAATAATAATAATAAATATTTCCAACACTCACACCAATTAGCCTAGCCCCAAAGTAAGCAATGTAATGTGTTATGGGATACTAGGGTAACGGTTACAATACATATACTGTACATGTATAAGTATATTTATATAGAAATACATATTAAACATCCATGACTGGAGTACAAATGCTCGTATTCATCATACAAACATCAGCCCCCACCGGGATTCGAACCCGGGACCTCCCGAGTCGGCGACACCATGAAACCCGGCGTACAAACCACTCGGCCACGGAGGTTGTCGAAATTATAAATGTGAAAGTTTATATGTTTGTTAATCAATCACGCAAACATGTCTTAACGGATTAAGATGAAATTTGGGACACATTTAGTTTATTAACCGGATTCAGATATAAAATACTTTCATCCCAAGAAAAATTTTGGCTCCTAAGGAATATTCAAAAAACTAAAGTTTACGTGGACGATGTCGCGGGCAGTCACTAGTTTCGAATATAAACTTTATTCCGTTTAGCATATCACTTCATCTTATCTGCTAAGTAAATGAATGCAAAAGATATGGAAGCTTACTTTGGTGCAAGAGGGCCTCATACTCTTTCGTCATCATCAGCCTATTAATGTCCCCACTGCTGGAGCACAGCCCTTTCCTATTGTTGGAATAGGAAGATTGGGCCATGGCCCACCACGCGGGCCCAGTGCGGCTTGGCGGGTGCTAACGAGTGCAGATGCAGCCGGGACCAACGGCTTAACGTGCCTTCCGAAGCACGAAGGAACTCGAGATAGTAGATTTTTGGTCACCCATCCAATGACCGATCACTGCGAAAGTTGCTTAACTTCAACGATCGCAGCCGACCGCGCTAACCACCTGCGCCATCGAGCTTATTATAATAGGCTAGTTAACACTTTTTGGAAATATGTTACAAATGGGTAATAAAAAAAAAGCATGTCGCGGTCGGCCTATAGTCAAATATAACAGATTCTTACCGTGAATAGTACAAAATACTTTTGATTGTTTTCCCCGACGCAGTTGTTCACCCACGGGCAGTGGTGGTCCATTTTCCGGATGCAGCGTTGGCACACGGAGCAGTGATGGGCTCGTTCCGGTTTGATGCTGCAGCACTTGGTGCATTTAAATATAACCTGCCCTTCGCGAAAGCTCATCTGTTTTATCATTTCTTTTGTAGCATTGCCTTTGGGGACGGCGCCCTAAAATGAAAATATTTTAGCAAAGTCATAATCGTGTCAGAGTCATTTCTATTTTAGATTTTGCAAATGAACGACTTTGCACTATGTATGAACGACAAAAAACGTAAGATATTCATTTTGTCTCAAGCAACCGGTCGTGGTCATACTCGTACAAGAGACTACAGCTAAGAACTCACGGAGCGATTGTCACCCGCCCGCCGCGGCTGCGGGACTGCAACTTGTGTAAAATGTGAAATTGTAACCGCAATAGCAAATTTCACGGTTCGTTTTACGGCACCCGCGACGGGCTCCGTCTTATCTCCTTTTTCTTCTTCCTCCAGACTTATTTTTCTTCTACCAAAAAACGTGCAAAAACTTCCAAAAAATCTCTTCACAGATTCAAAAACCTCAGATCTCACTATCTGTCCGTTTAACTCTTCCATTGTATCTATTTCCTCAGAGCGAATAAGACTTATATAAGGTTTAGATGTATTTATTGAGTGTATGTATTTATATCTATGTATTTTTGTATATATCTATATGTGTGTATTTGTTTTATATACTTGTATTGTACAAAGAATTTTTCGCGTATTTCTGCAGTTAATTACACCACCGTCTTTCCAGCTTCTTTCATGTCCTCTCCATCCCAAAGTTGTCTGGAAGAGATCGCTCTTAGCAATAAGACCCATTTTGTATACTGTATCCAACAATTATGTACAATGTTTTATATTTTTTGTGGTGTATAATATTACTATTCTTTTGTTTAGTTTACCATCGCATCTCGAGAATTTCCAAATAAAACAGCTCTGCGTGGGAGCAGGGAAAACCTCGCTCAGTGAGTTCTTAGTCTACATCTCAACTTTCAGCTTACTGTAAAATAAAGATCTTGTCTATTTAGATACAATTATGTCGACCACATAATGACTGGCATGTCAAATGCCGGCTGCATTGAACTTGACATTGTTTTCAATAAACAAAAGCAAAAAATTTACTAAAATAATGTCACCTCAAATACATAGTAAATATGTATTTTTTTGCGAAATAGTTATATTTTTATAGTACTTTGACTATAGTCAAATTTAACTATAGCGTGAAACAACACAGCCTTAGGTCAGTTGTACAAAAATAAATTAAAGTAGTTACATCACAGAGTCAATGATTTTACATATAAAAGCATTTCACTCACAGGATCAGTAAACATGGTTCTCAAGTGTGAAGCAAATGCAAGGAATGCTAAACTCTGGAATATGAAAATGTTGACGTATGCATAGAAGGGATAGCTTGATAGGCCAGGCAGTAGCATCACCATCATCACCACAAACTCTGCATATAGTATTAAGAGCCATGTCAACACAGCACATATTATTCCACATATATCCTGGAATAGACAAATTCATTTTCATACATTATTTATTTTATTTTATTATTTCAAATAATCATGAATGTAAAGTTGATGACTAACTCTTACACCTATGTTTTGTCTCTGTTCATTGAATTACAAATGGCACTTGACTGATATAAACAAAACACAGTGTACCTAGTCTAAGCTTGTACCTCATTTATTAATAAGGCGTTTAAAGATTTGCGTTGGTATCGGCAAGTTTTTTACAGTTTCCTTGCTTTATATTTTGTTACAATATCCAAGGTGGTCCATAAAACAATTAGACCTTTTACAATATTTTTCAAAATATCTTACCTTTATGCACCATGCTTTGCCACCACAACACCTATTATGCATATCGCAATCAGGCCGGGTAAGAACCAGGCATTCTGGATCTATTTGACACTGACTTTCCATGTCATCTTCATCGGAACTGTCATAGAATTCACGTATCATTTGATGTCTCCCAATTAAACTAAAAAATAAACCAGCATTATTTATGTTGCAAGTGCTGAATTAAAGCTGATCTCGCATCCAGATCACTGAGCTCAAGGTAGGAAGTGATGAAAATAATAGTGAAGCTCTTGTTGCTTCACTTATTTAATATTTTACTTATACTTTAATGTTTTCCTAAAACTTAAATAGGTAATTTACATAAATAAGTCCTTAAGAAAATTAATATAACAATTTAGTCTTTATTCAGCCATGAGAAGTTCACATTATTTTGTCTCAACTTTATTCTAACAAAAAAAAAATTTTAGGTTTTTTTCTCTTAAATTTTAATAGATTTTAAATCTTATATGCTTTAAATGTTCCTGCACTACTGATGTCATTTATATTATTTTATATATCATAAAAATTGCAAATATTATAAGTATATTTTCATTGGAGGCCTTGCAAAAAATTATTCTGCATATGCAGTTAAGTGTGAGAAGATTTCAGTGTAAAGATAGTGACTGACATAAATTAACCTACAGTTAACAATTTTTTCTAACACCATAGCAAACATACCACATATTTACATACAATAAAGAAAAAGAATATTCAAATGGCTTGTCTTTCGCTGTGCACTGCATTGAAATCTATGTGTATAAACTAAACATGATTATCTGTAGAAGCAGGTATTACAGCATGAATTGGTGGCAAAGGAAATTTGATGGCTCATACTCTTACCACATTCTGTCTGTGATAGTGAAAGTTTATCAACTTTCTGATTGATCCCAGCAAATTATATTCTTGAGTTATTCAGAAAAAATAGTTTAGCATCTATATGGAAGCATTTTTTTTAAAGGAGGAATATTTCTTAGAACAATTTTTATAGCGTCTAACTGTAGAACTACATAGTGATGTGACAACTGAGTGTGATAAAATACACATTATATATCATATCGCTGAGCTCATGCTAGGAGGGCTGGTACATTACGTATTAAGCAGCTCTTAACTATATCAAAATGTATACTGTATGAACGAAAATACCAAAACCAAAATATCACACACTCAATTGAGGAGCTGGCAAATAAAACGGCACAATTACATAAAATAAATTTTACAGGAGCTGTATAAAATTTAATGACATACCTACAGTGAGCTTTTGGCATGGTTTTAATTTATAAATATAGTATTTACAACACTGTTTTAGGCAGTTTTGATGAGAAAATTATTTGAGATTCAAATTCAACGGGCCCATAACCTCCGGCCTGTAAAAATAGTGTAGTTTCACCTGATGCGTAATTATACTGTTTTGTTCGCGAGCTCCTTGTATATAATAAAAAATATACCAAAATTTAAATTCTGTGACTCATTTCATTTAATTCAATTTAATAATTTCAAGATCTATTTGCCTGTGGCATAAGGACAGACAGATGACAGAGTAACAGCAAAAGGGATCTGTTTTTACCCTTTGGGTATAGATCTCTAAAAATTGAGGCACATTGAAAATGGGTTATCTTTATAAGATTAGCTTTAAATTAACAGAAATATAGCAATTTAGAACCTGACCTGTTTAAGCTGTATGAAAAAAACTATCCCAGTTTTGCAAACAATTCAATATCTTCATTACAGGTTGGTTTCAACAATAATGCTAGACTTTGGTTATGAAAATAAATATTGTACAAATGAAATAATATAAAAAAAAGTGTTCTAAATATTAATAGCAATTCTAACAGTAAAAGCAGTGCAACAACTTCGCCGAGCATTTAAACATGGTCATTGTGAAATGAAAACTCATTCTCTGTGAATATTCTGTCAATATTAATTTAAACAGACAATATAATTAGAAATAATACTGTGTATATAATTGAAACGGCCAATATTATAACGCAATGTAAAAGATTTAAATTTTCAATGATGCTTTACAAAACAGGAATTAAATAACTTTCGCGTAGATCAAGCGCTAAGTGTACGAGAATTCAGGTGATCAACAAATCTAAGACTAAAGATTTCGCCAGCAACCTAAACTAAAACTTTGTACTGATTAGCGTAAAAGCAAAAAATGCGGGACCATGGAAATTATCGATTCATCCGACTTACCTTTATAGCTACAAATAAGAACGTTATTACATTCGCAATTCAGAGATCGGCATTCGGCAAATCATTCACTGAATCCTGTAAAACTGTAACGCCAAAATGAGGGTCAGGGTCTCCAATTAATTATGTACGGTGCCAAAATTTTGCACTATTCAACCAAATAACTTCACTGAATTATATTAATATTAAAGATATGAGAGATCATTTAACTCCTGGATAATTCACAACGTCTAGTTTCTTTTCTTCATTCAAAATCAATAAACGAAATTGTTCTCATTTTCACTGAAGGAAACATTTTTTTATTTTAGTTTTCTCATAAAATCTTTCTACTACGGAAAGCAAAGATATTGTTTGTTATACAGTCTGACAGACAAGTTTCAGATAGGTTTGGAGCACATCGGACATGAAGATTCAAGGACAATATCCATTATCCATATCATGGATCTTGCTTGAATCGAGATATATATTATGCCGCTTGCTATTATTATGAATTGGAATTAAATTGACACAGCACAGTAGGTAACGTAGTGAATCACCACAAATCACGACGATTGAGGAGCAGGTGTAGGTAATGTAGTGGGTTCGACTCTGGCAATCTGGAATTATTCTCTAAACTTAAAAATAAACGTCAGTCTCTCATTTTCATTCTTTAAATAGAATGACAAAGATACAATGGAGTCCAGGGATGTTAGATGGGCACCTAGAAATCCTTGTGCCGAGCTGGCTGAAAGCTGGTATTCGAGCCGGGAAACTAGTACGCCTGTGCTCCGCTCTGCGGCGCTGCCAATTCTGGGAGCTGTGTGGGAAATCGCATCATCCCAGTAAAAAAAATGTACATTTCAATTTCGTAGACCGTTAATAGAGGGCAGTGATTATAGAACACACGCAAGAAATATACTATATATACTCGATTCTTTCATCAATTGAAGAATATTAATCGTTTATAAGCACGTACAATTGATTGGTTTTTTTTTTTACATGAATCTCTAAAATTTGTCGATTATTCTATATTGTCAGTGTATTTTTGTCGGTCAACGGCCAATCTTGGTATTTTTGCGTACAAGGACTGAATAGCCTTGGTACATGGTACGTGACACTAAAAACTAGTATGTATACCAAGAAGTTGGTACGTCTGACATCATTGATGGAGTCGATTCTGGCATGATTCTCGAAACCTAAACTAAAATTGACAACAATGATGTCGATTCTGACATGATTCTCTAAAGCTAAATTTAAATTTGACAACAGTGCATCCCTGTCATTCTCTATACAGAATGAAAAGGAGAGACTGATGTTAAATTTAGTTTTAAGCTTACAGAATCACGTCAGAATCGACACCAGTGGTGCCAACTCTGGCGTGATTCTCTAAATTTAAAACTAAATTTAATATCAGGCTCTCCTTTTCATTCTTTATAGAGAATGACAAGGATATACTGCTGTCAAATTTAAGTTTAGGTTTAGAGAATCATGCTAGAATCGGCACCACTGTATCCTTGTCATTCTCTATACAGAATGAAAACGAGAGACTGATGTTAAATTTAGTTTTAAGTTTAGAGAATCGTGCTAGAATCGACCCCAATATTGTCAAATTTAAGTTTAGATAATGAATCATGCATGTCAGATTCGACACCACTAAGGACACAATGATGTCGATTCTGGCATGATTCTCTAAAGCTAAACTTAAAATTGACAACAGTGCATCCTTGTCATTCTCTATACAGAATGAAAAGGAGAGACTGATGTTAAATTTAGTTTTAAGTTTAGAGAATGACGCTAGAATCGACACCAATTGCTGTCTTTAATTAAGATTTAGACTTTACAGAATCATGCCTGAATTGATACATTTATAAAATTACCTATTGCATTGATTTATTTATTATTAAAATAACATGTAGTATTTATCTCTATTGATAAAGCAAAAAAGTGACATGCTTTCTGTTTGTGATCTCCATTTTCCTATCTTAATTCATAAAATTCAAACGTAATGAAATGAGAAAAAATTACCGTTTCTAAACGAACTGCCACATCGAAAATGACATTACAAGTACTTTTCATTCGTGACGTATGTCTTGCTCTTGGCCCATTGCTGAATTTTATTAAAAATTAAATAAAATTCCTGCTTTAATTGGTTTCAGTCGCTTTTATTAAAGAATTGGCGAAGTTTTTGTGACTGAAATTTTAGTAGATAAATATTTACCTAAGCTAGTGCTGTCTTTAATTTTTTTTAGGATTTTCTATTCGTCTTTCGCAGTGGTGAAATAATTGTAAATCAATATAGCAATTATGCCGCCTGTAAGTATTTATAAATGATTCCTCCTCTGCCGGGCTTTTGTACAACCCAAAATTATTGAATCACAAGTGTTGCATAAAACCAAACAACGAATGAAACTGACAACTTTAACCATATCTATACCTACCTAAAATTCTTGATTTAATTCCTTGACCATTGACTTTGCTACGTCATCGCATATTTTTTCAATTTACCTATTATTTTGGAAGCTACCTTAATTCATGACATTAAGTATGTGGATTGGTGGGTGCTAATGACTACAGATGCAGCCAGACCAACGGCTTAATGTGCCTTCCGAAACACAGAGGAGCTCGAGATAGTAAATTTTTGGTAACTCATCCAATGACCGACCACTGCAAAAGTTGCTTAACTTCAACGATTACAGCCGAACATGCTAACCACTTGCGCCATCGAGCTTCTCATCAACAGACTCTTCTTATGCTAACTTTATGTTAATTAAAGGTATAAGTTGTGGCATTAAACCTTAGCACTGACCATTATTGTGCAGAAGTAAAAATTAAGATGTCTTAGTGTCGGTCATACCCAGCTATCCCCTCCATGTTTTGTTCAGTGCTCCAGTTACGTGCTGCGACCTGTAGTTTCATTTGGTTGTATTGCCTGGATAAATATCCACCACACCACTGAACCTGATAAGATCGAGGCCAAATACAAGAGTCTGTCCTAGGTTAGTTTGTTTACTTAGTCTTACAGTAAGTTTGTCAAAACTCTGCTGCAGGATGAGGAGATAATGCTAGGATTCCCTGTTGGGTCTGGTATAGTAGAGGGTAGCTGATGTGATGTGCCATATTATTTTACTTCTCTCATGTAAAATATCATATGTTGTGACACTGAATTACTCTTTTAAACCTTATAAAAATGTAAATTCGAATTATATTTCCAGCCCCCAAAGGGAAAAGCGCCAACAAAAGGTGCTAAACAAATTTTGATGGAGAACTCGGCTACAGTTAATTTCTACCGAAACATGGCATTGGGTGCTGGTTTATTCCACTGTGCCATTCTTATTGCTCTTTACTTGGACAGTATCACATCATGGACTATTGTAAGTCTGTAATTTAATATTTAAATTTATTAAACTTGCAAGCATACCTTGCTTTCATTTATGTGACATAAAAAGAATCCCAAATTAAATCAATTAATTGGAATACATATTTTCTGTCATTTAAATTACCTATGTTGTGGTTTTTTGAATAGGTAACCATTTGCTCAATAAATGACCTGGTATGAAAGATTTGTACTTGGAACAACAAGTAAAAGATAAAATAGTAATAAAAGAACACATTATAGATTATAAACAACCTAACTTATAATTCATATATTATAAAGAATTTTATACCATTCTTCTAGGCTTTCAACTTAGTGGTGGTTTCAATAAACACTATTTGCTATAAAGCCATGAAGAGTATCAGCCGGCCGAAATATTCAGACAACAGTCAGCTCATTGATCCTGGGCTTGATCTCAACATGGAAGGTGGTATGGGAGAGTGAGTATGATTATAGCTTTCATTAGTGGAGCTGTACAAAACTAACATGCATTAAAACAAATTTCCCATATAATTAAAAGAGATTATAGAAAATAAGACAAATAGATATAAAAATAAAATTGATAAATTCAGTTCACTTAGTAGTACATCCACATTTAATATTTTTAATCCAAATTGTATTATATTTCTTTGATAGATTGTGAGAATTTAATAAGTGCCTTTGGAAATAATACCTACTCTCTTTTTCATTAATCAAATGAACTTGTGTAGTATGTTAATTATGCAAATATTTATTTTCAGGCATGTCAAAGATGTAGTCATCTTATCGTCAATCACACATGTGCTGGCAGTTTTCTCCAATTATTTCTGGTTACTGCTACTATTCATACCTCTGAGAGCTTTTTGGCTGCTATGGAAGAACATATTAGGGCCTTGGTTTTTCCAAGAAGCCCCTGAAGACACGGAGCAAGACGAGAAGAAAAGGAAAAAAATGGAAAGGAAAATGAAAAGATATCAACAGTAATTTTAAATGTACTTTTAAGATTGAACAAGTCTTTTCAACATTGTCCATATGTTACTAGTTAAACAAAGTTTTGTGTGCTAACATTGTTACTGGGTACACTGAATCTATAATGGTAGCCATACACACTACGAGAAATCGTTACGATTAGACTGTACCGTCCGAACGGTACCGATAAATCGTAGCGTGTATGTTATAAAACTGCACAGTTTCCTATACGTACGCCACGTACGATAAACTGTTCCGCTCGAACTGTACAGTCTGATCGTAACGATTTCTCGTAGTGTGTATGGCTACCATAAAACTAATAACAAGTTATGTATGGACTATATTGAAATTTAGTTGAGTCAATTGTTGTAATATTTGAACACTCCCTTTGTCTTATAGTTCATGTGTGTAAATGTTATTTCTGCCTGATGCCTTTTGACAAATCTATTTTAATACATCTAGATTCTAGTAAAATCAATCTACAAAAAACGAATTATACATAAATGTTTATTCTTTTCTATATTGGAATAAATTTAAATGTAAAAGTACAGCATGGTTAGAAACAAAAACAAATATACCAATAAAAGTGTTGTTTAATTAAATATGACTTTATGGAATTTTTGTTCACATCTTATACATTTTATAGTTTACTAGTGACCCGCCCTCACATCACTTCGTCAAAGACTATAGTTTTTGTCCTTTATTTGTCCTAAAAGATACATGATCTTTTGGTGAAAACTGCACTTGAATCCGTTGCATAGTTTTAAGGATCTCTAAGCGTACAGCAGGAGCGAATTTGTTTTACGCTAGGTAAAGGTTCTTTAAATAAGGTTTACAAAAATAGGTTTTAATAACACAACGCTATACAGTTTAGTAGTCCTACCAACCTAATTAAATTTGTTAAAAGTTCGATTACATGGCTGCGTGTCCGCCAGAGACATGCGAGGATGCGTAGTGAAGAATGTTTTTGTGTACAGCACAGCTGTGCTGAAAACGGCTGAGCAGAGCGAGGTTTATGTACGTACAAAATAAGCGAGCGGTGCGTAATATGAATGGAGGCGGGCGAAAATTGCATTTGAGGCTGTTAGCGCAAAAGTGGCCTAACCCTCAATTATTCATATTCTGATTCATCTTCTACAATTCATTAAAAATGTGTTTAAATTTAATTCAAAATCGTCATTCAATTCAGGCGTCAATAGACGGCGTTGCAAAAGTTATTTTTGCGTTGTTTTTTTTCTCTCAACGTAAACTTCATAAGTGGCCTAAGCCGCTTAATCAGAATATTATTGAGGGTTAGGTCACGTTTGCGCTGACCGCCTCATTTAAAAAGAGACCGCTACACAATCACCATCTTCACACCGCTAATCTTCCTAGCACATGGAAACACACCGTTTCATAGTTTTCCTACACATCTTCGCTTCGCTGTACTTCCTCGCACAGCTCTAGTGGAAAAGCAGCTCAAGTCGTGTTTCTGTTTATTTGGCAACTGTAAGACTTGTGCAATGCAAAGATAAGTTAATAAAAGCGATGTGTTTTTTCTCATGAAAAGAAAAACTCGCATGAGTAGGTGACGGGTACTTAGGTTTAAAGAATTTTATTTCTCATACGAACTTACACAGGCAGTTCACTTAAAATGAGATACATAACTAAAACTAATAACTTAATTGAAATGACACAGCGCAGCAGCTTTATAAAACTATAATTTAGTACAATAGGTAGGCAAACTATTGTTATTAATACAAGCACAATACAAAAATGGAATCTGGCATGTTTACGAGCGAATGACAAAATTATTATTTTGCTACCGTCCCTTCACAAAGCAAAAAGAAAAACATGCAATTCGTACCGGCGGAGTGCCGATAAGTAACCAAGACGGTAGATATTGTTTCATCAGTCACTCGATGCATAGCATTATGAAAGATGCGGAGTCGCTAATGCAACTCATTGCGTTAGAATTTATATTTATATATTTAATTTTTGAATTTTCTTTTACCACGTCCCGATATAAACAAACAAAACAAAAGAAGAAAAAAAAAAAAACTTTTCCCTGCAGTATTTTAGAAAATTGGGGCAACATAGTTGGTACATTTTAGCGATTCCCTTTTTTTATTTATACAGACAGATCCAGTCCCAACCACAATCCGCTTCCCGTTTACACGTAAATAACTTATGATGTGATTTAATGGTATATATATTTAACTTATATCCTCCTATCACGAAAATGAGTTAGATAGCTTACAAAATACAAGGATAGAAAACTAAATCATAGTTATGGGCCTATGCGTACGGTCTTAAAAAGTGACAAGTTTGTGTGAACATTTCTCGTGTGTTTTATGGTATTTCATATTTCGCAATTTGACGCAGCCTCCGCTCATGACGGTGTTATTCCGGCCGAATACCAATGACTTAAAAGATGTTACTAGCTCATTTCCGTGACTAAAATATAGTAATATGTACTAGGTTATACACTAACCTCCTTATTAATAAACGAAGAATAAACTTGGATAAGATACTCGATGTTTTGTCCCTGTTCATTGAATTACAAATGGCATTCGAGTGACACGAAAAAAACACGGTGTAACTATTCTGAGCTTATTCCTTGGTTTATTAATAAGGGGGCCAATAGATAAAAAATTAAAAGGTTGCTACTGTCAAAATATTGTTTTGTTTGTTATTTCATATTTTCAATTTAATGTTATACTGTGTTAAAATATAATCGTAATTATGAGATAATATAAAGATTACAAATTATCATATAAAACATTTAATGATTTCTAAATGTCATTTTGGGTTTCGTATTCACAATTAACCCTTTTTAACCGACTTCAAAAAAGGGTCTGTGTTCGACTGTATATATTTTTATGTATGTTCACCGATTTCCAAAATTCTTTTTTTTTGTCGAAAGAGTGCACTTCCGATGTGGTCCCATTGGAACCAAGTCAGGATCTGATGGTAGAATCCGGAGAAATCGAGGGAAACCTTCAAATTTCAAAGGCACGCACGATGTTTTTTATGTTTTTTTTTGTTTTTTTTTTCACCGATTTCTCCGTCAATTGTGTTATTGTTTACTTGGACGATGTTATTTTCACTAAAATCGATGAATTAAAAAAATAAAAGCGACTTGAAAATCGAAAATGGAACTAAAAAGTAAAAAATCTGGTTCATGATTTAGAAGTTGGGCGGGGCCAAGATTGAAATATTAAATAGATTTTGGTTTCTGATCGGTAACAATAGCTACGTCTTTCAATCTAGACCCGCCCGACTTCCAAATGTTTAGTTCCATTTTCGATTTATAGTCGGTTATATTTTTTGTTTATTTTTTTTTCCATTTTTAGAGCCCGCGCTGCTTTAAGCGGGGTGGCACGGAGTGGACGTCCACTCTGCTTGCAGTTTTTATGACATTTCATAGAACAGCGTGGGAGACCCGCCTCACGCACGCAGTGCTCTCACTTTGGCCACGTCAGCCTGTCTGTCTGTAGCTTAAGCGGCCTACTGACATCTCTGCCGCCGGGACAATCTAGGGTGCACGGCGGTCGGGGCAATATCGGCTTGTCTCTACACACGTGCCTGCTATTTAATGTTCGGGGGTATGTTGAGCTGAACACACGCGTTGATGATGGTCCCAGTGCAGAGGCGGCGTAAGGCGTGGGCGACGTGGGCCTTCGCCTACGACCTCGCGGTACAAGCGGCCTCGCGCCTCAAAAATTTTTATGCATTGCTTAACAGCGTTTTTTTTATATAAAATCCGTCTTCAGGTCGCCACAGAACAGGGCCTCGCGAAATCTGTCTTGCCCACATCAAATTTAGGTCTTGCCCCGCCACTGTCCCAGTGTTATCAAAAAATCAGATCGGTAGGTAGGGCCTTGGCTTTTTCTATACTGCTAGCGCAAAAAAGGAAATACTGGGTGAAGAATTGGCAACAGAAAGAAATTTATTGTAAATAAATAATGTTTATATTACTAGAAAAATCCATGCGGACCTGGCAGCAGACGGGACTCGAACCCGCACCCTTCGCTATCCGGGCGAATGCACTGACCAATTATGCTACCGCGGCCCTGACGGTCGTATTGAATTCTTTCTAGCCTTTCTTAAGCTGCAAGGCAGCGCCCATCTCTTAGCATTTTAGGTAACCCACAATGACAAATGAATACCTTTACAAGTATTAAACATTTGAAAGAAGAAATAGCAATTAAAGTTATAATTTTAATTTTTTAAGCATGTAACTGGTCGATGTTCGAATCGAAAAAAATATTACAAGAAAAAAAGCTACATATTTTTCTATATAGTAATATTTTCTTGAGATTGACGACCTCCGTGGCCGAGTGGTTTGTACGCCGGGTTTCATGGTGTCGCTGACTCGAGAGGTCGGTTCGAATCCCGGTGGGGGCAGATGTTTGTGTGATGAATACGAGCATTTGTACTCCAGTCATGGATGTTTAATATGTATTTCTATATAAATATACTTATATATGTAAAGTATATGTATTCTATCCGTTACCCTAGTATCCCATAACACAAGCCTCACTGTGCTTACTTTGGGGCTAGGCTAATTGGTGTGAGTGTTGGAAATATTTATTTATTTTGATTTTAACACTGAGCAGTTACATGCTTAAAAAATATATAAATAATGATTGTTTTTTTTATCCCACATGTGGGGCTTTTCTTTATATACTTCTCTCACTCGAGACCAAACATTACAAATAAACGTTTAAGGAATTTATAGGGTTAACCGGTGGTTCCATATGTCGACAGGGCATAGACAGCGCGGTAGCAGATTAAGGCAGTTAATCTCCAAATAAAGTAATTTTATACAAAAATATCTTAATAAACGATTGTGTTCCACGCACAAAACAGAAGCATGTAAGTAAAGAAAATTAACTACCTTGCCCGCTATCACAACATACTATTATAGTATACTTACTTACCTAATAATAATAAAATAACAGGTTCGCCAAGCATAAAAAGTGATATATTTTGACGTTTAATTTGATTTAGTTTTACGTATTGTACTCACTTCACGATGCGACGTTACAAAAACCGATAGTGTGTTAGTCTGACTCGCACATGAACGGTTATTCTTTTCCATTGAGGTTTTTTTTTTAAGTGAAACTTATTTTCGGGAAGGGTGTAAATGGAAAAATACTATGGATAAGATGAAACGGAAATGCGAAGGTAACTTCTGCAACGGAAAAGTGCGCTTTTCAGCCATACATTGCTTTGGCCGACCCAATTTTCTTATCTTGGGTGAACCTGGAAACCTTACTAACCGACGGGAATAGAACTCTAACATTATGTGCTGTTATTATAGATAAATAAAGTAACTCCAATTAGATCGGAAAATCTGCTAAGCCTCTACGTACATTTTCTAAAATAAAAATCATCTTTATTGTTACCCAAAATGAAACAATCATATTTAACCAGCATAATAATTGCCAGAACTAAGAAAAAGTACAAATAAATTGGATCTGCAAGATCATACAGGTTTGTAGTTACTTACATTGTACCTAGTTATATACAAATAACAATACCTAACAAGCAATTTGGCACAAATTCCTTGCTTACGGAACACGTTAATTATAACAGATTACATCGCCGGCGTTTATGTGTAATTATTATATTTATTTGCCTACTTAGTTGGTAGGAATCCTCTCCGCTCGTGCTTTTACGAGATGCGTCGTATTGCAGAGTAGAAGAAGTTATGCTCAGGACTTGTGGACTGGTAAGGTACTACATTTCGCGCCTGCGCGTCGTGCAGAACGCTCCGTAAAAACGCGGCTCAGAGCTACGCGCCAACGCATTCAATGTAAGTTTATTTTTGAATATCGGTAACGCACGTCATTGCAGTTCCTCAATATCGTTTAAAAGTTTGCGAAGTATAAGCAGCTGGTTTTATTTTTGTGTGAGTTTTCAAATGTTTATACCTACTTATATTAGAAAAGAAAATCTTGATATTAATGTTCTCGTGTCTTATGTTATGTATGGGGATTAATAAATGTTTATTAAGTTTACAATTAAAATCGTTACTTGAACTGTCTATAATAAACTTAAATTCATAGGTAGTTTATGTTTATATTTTGTTGATTGTGGTACTTTAAATTAGTTCAACGAAGGATGTGCACTTTTCTTTTAAATTTCACGACTTTTTGTGTTATTTGTTAGTTTGCCCTGAATTCTAATTCTTCTTTGTATTGATGAATCCGATTTTAACTGAAAGGTAACCTAATTAAATTAATTGTACCTATCGAGTACAACTCACTTCGGCTTTACTCGGGTGAAATGTGTTTTTAAGCGTTATAATAGCCTTTTACCTTCAGAAGGGAATGCATAGTATGATAATGGTGCAAGCATTTGAAATGGTCCAGTCCAGTAGATTAAGAATTTATTCCTTTAAAACACAAAAATAGAAGTCTTTCATATTTTTATTATACGAGTAGTTTAGACCACGATAATTTTTATTTAACGAATTTTTTTCACATTGGTTTCGCAATCAGTAAACGTTTATTATTGTTAGGAATAAATGTTGTATTTGGTCACAGTGTGTTACAATACAACTTTAAATGTGAATTGCACCACAAAACTAGTTAAATTATATTATAATTTTAACTGGACACTTATTTGTTTTTTTTTTTAATTTAAAGAAAGTTTACTAGAAAAAAACCACGCGAACCAGGCAGCATACGGGACTCGAGTAGTAAACTTTTCTTTAGATTTAAACATCTAGCAGTTAAATGCTCAAAAAATAAAAACATAACTATAATTGCTATTTCTTCTTTCAAATGTTTAATACTTGTAATAGTATTCATTTGACATTATGGGTTACCTACAATGCGAAGAGATGGCGCTGCCTTGCAGCCTAAGGCTAGGAAAAATTCGACACGGCCGTCAGGGCCGCGGTAGCATAATGGTCAGTGCATTCGCCCGGATAGCGAAGGGTGCGGGTTAGAGTCCCGTCTGCTGCCTGGTCTGCGTGGAATTTTTTCTAGTAAACTTTTCTTTGGACACTTATTGTCACTGATTTCAATTCTGGCATGGTTCTCTGAACCTTAACTTAAATTTGACAGTATATCCTTGTCATTCCCCATACAGAATGAAAATGATAGACTGATGTTAAATATAATTTTAGGTTTAGAGAATCATGCCAGAATCGATACCACTGTCAAATTAGGATCAAATTTTTACTATCGTCAAATAGTGCAACCCATTTTTTACCTAACTGGTACTTTAAACAATTAAAGTTGACGCAACTTACGCTTAGTAAGTTTGCTTTTTAAATAAATTAAGTAAGAACGGGTATAATTAGTATTGCGTATTGGTAATTTATAAAAACGGGGAAGTCAAAAATTTGACCTTTGGGTTGGGGGGTTATACAACCAGTTGCTCAACCTAAGACACACCAGTGTGGCGGATAATATTAGAGTCGGGTGAACCCAACTGTGAGTAAGTGGAATACAATTGTAGTCCAATATGCGAACGTTAGAGTTCGTGCAATTTCTTAATAGCCCTATGTGTATAGTGACACACATAAGAAGTACTCATCAAAAGTGTATTAGGGATCAGGTACTTTAATATTTTGTGTACACATCAAAAGTGTATAAGGATAAAGTCAATATTTTGAAATAAGTCAATATTTATCAAGTATCAGTCTAAACTCTAAATGAACCCCAGACAAAACTGTGTCAATTATGTATGTGTTTTGCGAACGAGCGTAATTACGATCTTGCGTATTCTTGATCCCTTAGCCAGTTTGTTGTTTACCTACTTATAGTTAGGGCATGGTCACGGTAATGGTGGATTTTCTGATAGAATTCGAACCCCCGTCGGGGAAACAGTGTAGCCAGATCGTACCCCTTTTCCCGACTTTTTGACAATGGATCCGATGGGGAAGCAATCATCACCTTTCCGTAGACCGCAGTAATATGCTAGAAATTTGAGATTCTCTGGGTGATTTCGGTTTCCAGGGCTCCTCGGGGTAGGGGGTTGACTTCAGGCAGGCTGGAGATGGCATCAGGTGTTCAATATCAGGTGGCGCGGTTTACTGTGCCTCGTATATAAATTAATTAGTGACTGCTTCGTCTGCGTGGAAAAATTGGTTTTCTTTTCAAACTGAGTTCCCCCTTTTTCACTGATTTTTGTGATACTAGATCTATTCAAATTTCATCTAAGTGGCAATAGGTTGGTATCTACCACAGTGCTATACAAACTTTTTGGTGGTTGTGAAGTTAACAATGCGTAGGCAGATCCACTTCAGAAAAAGCGTGCGTGCAACTGAATTTCCATTACTTCGTTGCGGCTGGTGAGCGCTATATTTTTAGCTTCCATGAAGTTTGAATCGTACTTAACAAAGGTACAACTAACGTGGATAGGTAACCCAAGTGTACTGGACGGAGGCCTCCTGCCTAGGCTCCTGAGTTCGAATATTAGGACAGTTTGCATACTGTCATTTCTTCTAACACTACACTAATAAAATAATATAGCTACTTAGCTATAGTATATATTACTTTTTTGTCAATAGATTCAAATCATCATCATTAATATCTAACGTACAAAATACACCTCAATAAAATCTTAAATAAAATAAAAAAGGCTTCAAGGTACCTATTTTAATTAAAAATTCATAAAAGTTGCTCACTGTTTCATTATGAGCACAGTGCATCATGGGTCATCTATTATGTCGGCTAATCTTGTTTTTAAAGGTCTATCGGTCGGGTGATCAAAAATTTATTAAGCTTTTTGGGAATTACGTAAGTTATTCGAAATTTCTAACGGAGCGACAGTCTAGTCTAGCCCATAGTGTTAGGCCCGTATTACAGAATGACAACTAAGTGTTGATCTTTACTTGAGTACAGTTAGAAAGGGATATCGCTATGTGCTATATATAGCGACATCCCTTTCTAAATATGTTCAAGACTAGATCAGTCACTGAGAAGCTTTCTATAATACGGGCCTTAGTAGTCCCAGCTGAAACTCCTGTCATCAGTACCCATAAACATTCACAATTTCACATGCTGGATAGAATCTTGTTTTATCTTAGTTGCATGTTACTATGTTCTTAACAGTGGCGTAACCTGGAAGTGATAGAACTCCTCCCGCGGCACTATAAAGTAGGCGGTGCCATTATGCTTATAAAACATGGCCAGTTCTCAGAGGGAAAGATTGTATCTTTGGTTTAGTTTTACTCTGATGTACAACCAGTACATAATAGTAAAACTAAACTGAGGAAAGCTTTTGTATTTTGGGTTTAAGAATGTATATTATATCTATTTTTTTGAAATTAGAGTAACTTTAACCGAATATAAAAGATAGGTACTTGCAAGCACTCTTACTTTTATATTTTTTATTATTAATTTACCAAACGCAATATACTCGTAACAAATGTAATCCTAGAAACTGTCGAGTTTACTGTGTGTTAGTTTAATTATTATTTATCTCTGAAATTACGTAATTTAAGTACGTACTAATTAGATCTCTAACAAATTTATATGAGAAAAAACTAAATATGTATGAGAATTTTAGAAGACCACTGACTTAACGAAAAGAGATTCTCCAAAAACGGCTAATGAAATGTCGTAATTATGAGAGAGCAACAATGACCTTCTTTTACGAACAACAATAGTAAAAGATACATTTGAATTAACTATGTAAAAAAAAGCTTGTCTTCTTGGTGTTGATTATAATCACAACGTGTCAACTCATCATTATTGATGGGATGAATATTTATCCTCAAACGCAGTATTCATCTTGAACGACATACCTACGATCTGGGAGAAATCAAATCTCTAAAAGCTAGAAACGTTCTGAGCTTCTTGGAGGCTGTAAAAAGACGCTTAAAACAATACTTTAACTTGGTGGCGAGTCCCAATAGATCTTTTGGGGCGTAATAACTTCAGTTCCATTAAGAAAGCATAGCCCACAAAATTTGGAATAATAATAATGGGATGGAATACACATACACAACACATGCCTTCCAAGCAACGAAAACGTAGAGGCTTGTTTTCCCATTTTTGATCAGCCATCCATTAATTTGTCCTTTGCCAAAAGTTTCTCAACACTCGAAATCTAGCATTGCTATCGCTACGCTTTTAGCTCTTCGACATTTACATGATTTATTTACGTAAGTACTGATAAGCGTCCAAAAGAAGGCACGTAAACAAATTTTTCGGAGTCACTTTAAAGTTTCAATTTTGCTTTCTTGAATGATATAAGTATGTATTTTTTTTATCTGTTACATCGCGATTTTTCGTACAAGTTGCAACATCCCGTGTAGTTAGGTTGTAAGTAGTTACGCAAAAAGTATGCGTTCGTGACATTAGTGGAATATATTGGATTAATTGGAAAATTATATTGAAAAAAAAATTTTTTCTGTCCTTTTCGGACGGTCGAAAAAATGTGTAAGATTATTCCGTTTTGTCCGGCGACCACTGACGGCGGTGACTAGGTTTAAAATTTTGTTTAATTTCGGGCCATGACACCACTCAGGCGCAGAGGAGATTGGTGGGTAGGATATTTTTTTTATCGAACATTAAGATAGTGAAATGGGGAAAAGGAGGGCGGGCACTGGGCCCATCCTTTTTGGATCCAATCCCCACTGGGCCCAATGCGGTATACATATTTTTAACTTCCCCCCCTGTTTGTGGAGGCCCCGGAGCTTTCGCCCCGGTTGCCCTCCCCTAAATCCGGCAGTGGAGCTAGGCAACGAAGCCCACTGCCAGTCTAATATTGAATAAGTTACGGAACTCTGCGCTATCCATTACCAAACGTCCGCAGCGTTTGTAAAATGATAACACATAAGTACTTATGTAACTC